GTTCGCGATCTCCTTATATACCCCGGCACTCCAACTGTTTTTTCCTCGTTTCTGATTGGCTCTTAGCTTCGCGCCCTTTTCAAAATTCAAAATTCTTGCTTCGAAACTAGCGTCATCTCTTGATTTTTCTCGGAATTAACCTTCAAAATTTAATTCTTTTTTCGTTGATTTCTCCCTTATTCCTTTATGAAACGTAATAAAACTTCGTATTCAACGTTGTCTTTTCTTGTTTATAGACATACATTGGAGTACACGCCAAATTTCAACAATGAGTAAAGTTAGAAAAATTCAAATTTAAATCAAGGATTTCTTTCTCAAAATAACGTTAAAACCTCAAAAGATGGATGAAAAATGTGCTTTAGGAGCTGAACTATAATAATTGATACATTTGGAAGTAAACAAAACGGTTTAAGATAAGATTTTCACCAACAAAAAATCTCTCTGTCACAAATTCTAGGTTATGTTCTCTCGGTGAACTAAGAGAATGTTAAAATTATTACAGTACCAACAACTTTTATCAAAGTCAACATATTTTTTTACGTATAATTGAAAGGTGTAATAAAAACTATAGCATTCCATTTAAAATAACTACGAATAGTGGAACCTTAAAAAGTTCTAACCAACCAGTTACATGAGACATCCTGTATAAAGAGGAAATCTACTTATTTATTATTATTTTTTTGTGTGTTTTTAGTTAGATTTGGGACACTAATTTTAGTATAAGAAGAAGACAGATTAGAGAAGAAGAAACTATTATTCTAAATCATTTAAGTTGAAAATCTAAAAAAGGAAATGGGGCAGTCCTCTAAGAAGATTTTGTCTAATTGGAAGTTCAGCCAAAAGCTAAATCTGTGAAGGTCCGAGTGATGATCACAGATCTACGTCATGGATTATTTTACATGAGGAGTAAATTGGTCTACTTGTGGTGAGGTAACAAAACGAGCAACAAAAATGGGTTAATGATGGTGTCGATGCAGTTAAGATTGTCCCCCTTAAAATTCCTTTACACAAAAATAATTTTTTGTTTACTCCTCAAGTCAAAATCACGCGCAATAAGGCACTCTACTCGGTACCGGAAATAAAAATCTATTGCAAGTCTAAGTTTAACGTAATTTACATTATCGTGTTCCGCTGGGCAGCATACCTTTTAGCTTTTTCTTTGACTCTGTAAGAAATACTGTGGATTAAAACATTAGTCAATTAATAAAAGTGAATTTTTCGTTTAAATCGAAATTTAAATATCCTTCTTTTAACCGTAAATATACATATATATAAATAATGATTATCTAATTTAATTGAATTTGATGATTCTGATGGTCTAAGAAATGATGGGGTCGATGCAAAAACTCGCAAAAGGTTCATTAAGATATCATAAAATATTAAAAGACCAAATCAGAAGAGTGCTTTTAATCTGGGTTGTTTAATCATGCACTTGATTAATACTCAATACTAGTAAGACTAGTAATTTTACAAAAATTTACAAAATCTTTTTAACAACAAAACTAAAAATCCTTGTCTTACCATCTTCTCCAGCATCTTCTTCTTGTTCTTCCTCTTCAGTGTCGGTACTTTTACTTTTTCCCATCTTTTTCAGTTTCTTCTTTTTGGCAGCTCTCCGTCTCGCTTCCATTATGTGGAATTTCTCTTCTTCAGTTGTACGCTCCTCAGCCAAAATAACTTCCTCTACACAAAAATAAAATAATCAAAAATTGGAGGAATTTATCTCTTTTTCTAGTTGTTAATGGCAACACTGGAAAAACCGAGTGTATTACAAAAAAATGTTTGGAACGAAAGTTGTTGCCAATTTTATTCTTAGCAATATTGCTCTTTTGTACTTTTGCTCTCAGACTTATAGATATCGAGAAAAATATGAAAATTGTTGCTTTTTCAAGTTGTTAATGTTTCAAAAAAAAGTTGTAGCTAATTTTATTTTTAACAAGCTTAAAAAACCTTACCTGCTTTGCAAATCCATTGCACATAACCACTAAGCTCCTTTTCAAGCTGCGCCTGTCTTCTCAGCTTCAAAAATTCTTGCCTATTTTCTACTTTTTCTCGCTCTTTGGCAAACTCGCTACAGACAAAAGAGATCTAGCTTACTAACTACGGAGGCATTTATCAAAAAAGATCAAAATCGAGTAATGTAGCTTAAAAAGCTTTATTTGTTACACCCAATCGATTTAATTAAATACTTTCGAATTAATTAATTAATAAATTAAAAGCGATCTATTTACAATTTAGCAATACTGTTAGCTTAATTATTTGTAAGTACTGATATTAATTTCGGTTTCTATTCAAATTTCACCTGCTTGAGTGATCCATTGCAAGTATTGACCGAAAGCTTCGGTAAATTGTCGTTTAGATCGCGTTTTCTGAAATTTAGCTCGGCGCTCCACTCGAAGCCTTTCATTGGAAAATTCTCTATAATCATCACATTAACCCGAAAAAGTTTCCGGTTTGTTTGAAAATAAGGGAAATAATAATTGGCGGAAATTCGTTATGCGATACGTACCCACTGAGTACGCCCAACACTAAATTCAGCATGAAAAATGAACCGAGGACTATAAGTGGCACGAAATATAACCAGTTTGCGTAACTCCCAACGGCGTCGTTCATCTGCAAACGACGTTTTTTCAGTTTCATCTTTTTTGACTTTATCTTTCATCTTACCCAATATAAAATTGCCGTCCATCCTTCCATAGTGATGCATTGGAAAACTGTTAACATCGCGAATCCGATGTTGTCGAATGAGGTGATTCCATTATTTGGACCTTGCCATCGTTCCAAACAGATTGAGTTACCACCTCTACACCAATTACTACCGTGGGCTTCTGCTTGTGCTTTATTATCGGTGTTACACGGTGCAGGAAATTCACCTTCTTTCACGATCACATCTTTAGCAATACAAATAATTTTTATTTCTTAACAAGTATTAATTTATACGAAAGGATGGAATGGTTTCAATTAAGACATAACCTTATGCTAATTAATAGCAAGCTTTCAAATAAATAAATTAATAACTGAGCACAAAATTTCTTTTTTCAAATCGGTTAAGATTTAAGAATTGAAACTTTTTGAAGTTATAAAGGAAGATTTCAGGTTATCTCATACCAAATTATAAGCTTCCATGATGAATACTTTATTATATATAAAACATTTTAAAAATTACAATCTTAATTTGATGTTTTTTTCAAAAAAGTGAGGTTTAAAAAAATGTTTTTCCCCAAAACAACATTTTTTTCTCAATATTTTTCCATTACAACCCATCAATTATTATACATCATTGTAAAGAGAAAGCTTTGAGCTTTAATTTGAAATAGATTTCATTTCTTAATTTCAATAAATACGGTTTCCAGGAATTTTTAAATTAGCATATTTTTTGACACTTTTAGGTTATACGAAAATGTAAGTTTTGTTTCAACATTTTTTTTCTCAATATTTTTCCAACCCAACCCAACAATTATTATACATCATTTTAGAGAGAAAGCTTTGAGCTTTAATTTAGAATAAGTCTCATTCCTTAATTTCAATAAACACGGCTTCCAGGAATTTTTAAATTAGCGTCTTTTTTGACACTTTTAGGTTATACGAAAATGTAAGTTTTATTTCAATTTTTTTTTCTCAATATTTTTCCAATCCAACCCAACAATTATTATACATCATTTTAAAGAGAAAGCTTTGAGCTTTAATTTGAAACAAGTTTCATTTCTTAATTTCAATAAACACGGCTTCCAGGAATTTTTAAATTAGCATCTTTTTTGACATTTTTAGGTTATACGAAAATGTAAGTTTTATTTCAACATTTTTTTTCTCAATATTTTTCCAATCCAACCCATAAGTTATTATACATCATTTTAAAGAGAAAGCTTTGAGCTTTATTTTAGAATAAGTCTCATTCCTTAATCTCAATAAATACGGCTTCCAGGAATTTTTAAATTAGCGTCTTTTTTGACACTTTTAGGTTATACGAAAATGTTAGTTTTAACTCAATACTCTTTTTCTCAACATTTTTATAATTCAACCCAACGATTATTATACATCGATTTAAACAGAAAGCTTTAAGCTTCAATTTAAAATAAGTTTCATTTCTTAATTTCAATAAACACGGCTTCCAGAAGGCTTTTTTGACACTTAGATTATGTAAAGGCCTTCACCGAGTGTATTTTGATAGCGTTTTAATTCTGTCTGATTCTGTCACAAAGTTTCAAAGATTTTGACTTCTTGGGGCACAAAGGGTTGTTAAATCAGTTTATGAGATACGATTTTTACAATTTTTATCTTTTTGATTACTGTTATCTTAGCGGAGTTTTACTGAAAGGGTTATAAGATTTTTTTTAATTTCATGTTTTGCCATATAATTTAGATTTTGTATTTAGAGAGTATTAAAAGAGATATTATAGAAAATTAACAGCGATAATTCTTTCTTGATAAATCTCTGAATAGTAGATAATAACAGGGAATTAGATTAACTTAAATGAATACTACAGGAAGAAATAGAGTAAAAAAATCAAGACAATGGTATAACTTTCTATCTAACATTAAGAAAGATAATGATAATGTTAGGGTCCGGCCCTGTGGTATAGAAAAGATCTTCGTTTTTCTTTGGCTGACACGGGTGGAGAACGAGCACCGAAAAAAATACCCGCCGCTTATTAAGACGATGGCCGTTGAAGCGAACGCGTGGTCACCAATAATTAAGCAGGCGAAAGCGGAGAAGAACGAAGACGAAGAAGAAGAAGAAGACAAGAGAGTACGGGCAGCTGAGTCGCCGAGGGCAGGTGTTAAAGGGTTCTTTGGAACCGTGGGAGCGACCGCAACCACCTGTGGTCGAACTCCTTCATCGCGGAAGACACAACGACACCCTCCAGAGATCCAGAAACGGACGAAATCGACCTCATCTCGATATCAATTAAAATAAATGGAATTCTTAGTGGATTTTAGGGATTTTTTGACCGCGAAACTGGTATTGCCTTATCAGGAAAATACATTATACTCACAAATTTTTTTAATTTTTACCAACTACATTCTTGTATGTCATTATTTTAAGTTTCCTTTTTGAGATATCAGGTTCATCGAGTAGGTTAGTTCAGGTTACCAAGCAAAACATTAATAAATTCATTTAAATCGCACGTCAAAAGTGTTATAAATCATGGGAGATACAGAACAACCTCCACCACCCGCTCCAGAACTTGTAGATCCATTACAAAAATTAAGAGTAAATTTGTCTTTTTTAATGTTATTTATTTTAAATTAATGTTTTTTTTTCTTTTTTGAGGAGAAATGTCGTAAAAACCACCAAGACTTGGTAGACAAGTTGGATCAGTGTACAGAACGGGTTTCGTGTAGAGAACAAACGACGGAAACGTGTACGGAAGAGCTGTTTGACTTGCTGTCGGCGGTGGATAAATGCGTGGCCAAAGACCTTTTCAAGAAGCTGCAATGACCGCAATGGACATGACACAAAGTGTTCGTTACAATTTAAAATGTAAACGCGCGCGTGCATTAATCCTCACCAATTCCGCAATTGAACGAATAAAACCACCAATTAAAGCGTTCCTCTTCTGGCAGCGCCGCTTCAACTTAACCCTTAATTGTAAATTGCCCTCTTCGCTTAATTTCATTAACTCCAGAATTAATTTATGGGTGGCGCNGTTTTAGAAAAAAAAGTTTAGTACAAAAGTTGTAGCAAACTTTATTTTTAACAATATTGCTCTTTTACACTTTTGCTCTCAGATGCATAAATATTGAGAAAAGTTCGAATCGGTGGAAATGAGATAAAATCGTGTATTTACATCATTCTGATGGAGAACTTGGGATTCAGAAAGTTTTAGATAAAAAAGTTTAGTACAAAAGTTGTAGCAAACTTTATTTTTAACAATATTGCTCTTTTACACTTTTGCTCTCAGATGCATAAATATTGAGGAAAGTACGAAAAGGTGAAAATCAGATGAAATCGTGGATTTACATCAATCTGATGGAGAGTTCGGGATTCAGAACGTTTTAGAAAAGAAAGTTTAGTACAAAAGTTGTAGCAAACTTTGTTTTTAACAATATTGCTCTTTTACACTTTTGCTCTCAGATGCATAAATATTGAGAAAAATTCGAATCGGTGAAAATGAGATAAAATCGTGGATTTACATCATTTTGATAGAGAGCTCGGGATTCAGAACGTTTTAGAAAAAAAAGTTTAGTACAAAAGTTGTAGCAAACTTTATTTTTAACAATATTACTCTTTTACACTTTTGCTCTCAGATGTATAAATATTGAGAAAAGTTCGAAAAGGTGAAAATCAGATGAAATCGTGGATTTACATCATATTGATGGAGAGCTCGGGATTCAGAACGTTTTAGAAAAAAAAGTTTAGTACAAAAGTTGTAGCAAACTTTATTTTTAACAATATTGCTCTTTTTCACTTTTGCTCTCAGATGCATAAATATTGAAAAAAGTTCGAAAAGGTGAAAATCAGATGAAATCGTGAATTTACATCATTCTGATGGAGAGCTCGGGATTCAGTACGTTTTAGAAAAAAAAGTTTAGTACAAAAGTTGTAGCAAACTTTATTTTTAACAATATTGCTGTTTTACACTTTTGCTCTCAGATGCATAAATATTGAGAAAAGTTCGAAAAGGTGAAAATGAGATATAATCGTGGATTTATATCATTCTGATCGAGAGCTCGGGATTCAGAACGTTTTAGAAAAAAAAGTTTAGTACAAAAGTTGTAGCAAACTTTATTTTTAACAATATTGCTCTTTTACACTTTTGCTCTCAGATGCATAAATATTGAGAAAAGTTCGAAAAGGTGAAAATCAGATGAAATCGTGGATTTACATCATTCTGATGGAGAGCTCGGGATTCAGAACGTTTTAGAAAAAAAAGTTTAGTACAAAAGTTGTAGCAAACTTTATTTTTAACAATATTGCTCTTTTACACTTTTGCTTATAAATGCATAAATATTGAGAACAATTCGAAAAGGTGAAAATCAAATGAAATCGTGGATTTACATCAATCTGATGGATAGCTCGGAATTCAGAACGTTTTAGAAAAAAAAGTTTACTACAAAAGTTGTAGCAAACTTTATTTTTAACAATATTGCTCTTTTACACTTTTGCTCTCAGATGCATAAATATTGAGAAAAGTTCGAAAAGGTGGAAATCAGATGAAATCGTGGATTTACACCATTCTGATGAAGAGCTCGGATTCAAATTGTTTTAGAAAAAAAAGTTTAATACAAAAGTTGTAGTAAACTTTATTTTTAACAATATTGCTCTTTTACACTTTTGCTCTCAGATGTATAAATATTGAGAAAAGTTCGAAAAGGTGAAAATCAGATGAAATCGTGGATTTACATCATTCTGATGAAGAGCTCGGGATTCAGAACGTTTTAGAAAAAAAAGTTTAGTACAAAAGTTGTAGCAAACTTTATTTTTAACAATATTGCTCTTTTACACTTTTGCTCTCAGATGCATAAATATTGAGAAAAGTTCGAAAAGGTGAAAATCAGATGAAATCGTGGATTTACATCATTCTGATGGAGAGCTCGGGATTCAGAACGTTTTAGAAAAAAAAGTTTAGTACAATAGTTGTAGCAAACTTTATTTTTAACAATATTGCTACTTACACTTTTGCTCTCAGATGCATAAATACCGAGAAAAATTCGAACAAATGAAAATTAGATGAAATCGTGGATTTACATCATTCTGATGGAAAGCTCGGGATTCAAAATGTTTTAGTAAAAAAAGTTTAGTACAAAAGTTGTAGCAAACTTTATTTTTAACAATATTGCTCTTTTACACTTTTGCTCTCAGATGCATAAATATTGAGAAAAGTTCGAATCGGTGAAAATGAGATAAAATCGTGGATTTACATCATTTTGATGGAGAGCTCGGGATTCAGAACGTTTTAGAAAAAAAAGTTTAGTACAAAACTTGTAGCAAACTTTATTTTTAACAATATTGCTCTTTTACATTTTTGCTCTCAGATGCATAAATATTGAGAAAAGTTCGAAAAGGTGAAAATCAGATGAAATCGTGGATTTACATCATTCTGATGGAGAGCTCGGGATTCAGAACGTTTTAGAAAAAAAAGTTTAGTACAAAAGTTGTAGCAAACTTTATTTTTAACAATATTGCTCTTTTACACTTTTGCTCTCAGATGCATAAATATTGAGAAAAGTTCGAAAAGGTGAAAATCAGATGAAATCGTGGATTTACATCATTCTGATGGAGAGCTCGGGATTCAGAACGTTTTGGAAACAAAAGTTTAGTACAAAAGTTGTAGCAAACTTCATTTTTAACAAATTTGCTCTTTTACACTTTTGCTCTCAGATGCATAAATATTGAGAAAAAATCGAAAAAGTAAAAATTGGATGAAATCGTCCTTTTACACCTTGTCATTGGAACGCTATAGAAAAAAGTTTTAATATAATAGTTGTAGCAAATTTCATGCTTTATAATATTGCTCTTTTACACTTTTGCTCTCGGATGCATAAATATTGAGAAAAGTTCGAAAACGTGAAAATCAGATGAAATAGTGGATTTACATCATTCTGATGGAGAGCTCGGGATTCAGAACGTTTTACAAAAAAAAGTTTAGTACAAAAGATGTAGGAAACTTTATTTTTAACAAAATTGCTCTTTTACACTTTTGCTCTCAGATGTATAAATATTGAGAAAAGTTCGAAAACGTGAAAATCAGAGGAAATCGTGGATTTACATCGTATTGATGGAGAGCTCAGGATTCAGAACGTTTTAGGAAAAAAATTTTAGTACAAAACTTGTAGCAAACTTTATTTTTAACAATATTGCTCGTTTACACTTTTGCTCTCAGATGTATAAATATTGAAAAAAATTCGAACAAGTGAAAATTAGATGAAATCGTGGATTTACATCATTCTGATGGAGAGCTCGGGATTCAGAACGTTTTAGAAAAAAAAGTTTAGTACAAAAGTTGTAGCAAACTTTATTATTAACAATATTGCTCTTTTACACTTTTGCTCTCAGATGCATAAATATTGAGAAAAGTTCGAAAAGGTGAAAATCAGATGAAATCGTGGATTTACATCATTCTGATGGAGAGCTCGGGATTCAGAACGTTTTAGAAAAAAAAGTTTAGTACAAAAGTTGTAGCAAACTTTATTATTAACAATATTGCTCTTTTACACTTTTGCTCTCAGATGCATAAATATTGAGAAAAGTTCAAAAAGGTGGAAATCAGATGAAATCGTGGATTTACATCATATTGATGGAGAGCTCGGGATTCAGAACGTTTTAGAAAATAAAGTTTAGTACAAAAGTTGTAGCAAACTTTATTTTTAACAATATTGCTCTTTTACACTTTTGCTCTCAGATGCATAAATATTGAGAAAAATTCGAAAAGGTGAAAATCAGATGAAATCGTGGATTTATATCATTCTGATGGAAAGCTCGGGATTCAGAATGTTTTAGAAAAAAAAGTTTAGTACAAAAGTTGTAGCAAACTTTATTTTTAACAATATTGCTCTTTTACACTTTTGCTCTCAGATGCATAAATATTGAGAAAAGTTCGAATCGGTGGAAATGAGATAAAATCGTGTATTTACATCATTCTGATGGAGAACTTGGGATTCAGAAAGTTTTAGGAAAAAAATTTTAGTACAAAAGTTGTAGCAAACTTTATTTTTAACAATATTGCTCTTTTACAGTTTTGCTCTCAGATGCATAAATATTGAGAAAAGTTCGAAAAGGTGAAAATCAGATGAAATCGTGGATTTACATCATTCTGATGGAGAGCTTAGGATTCAGAACGTTTTAAAAAAAAAATTTTAGTACAAAAGTTGTAACAAATTTTATTTTTAACAATATTGCTCTTTTACAGTTTTGCTCTCAGATGCATAAATATTGAGAAAAGTTCGAAAAGGTAAAAATCAGATGAAATCGTGGATTTACATCATTTTGATGGAGAGCTCGGGATTCAGAACGTTTTAGAAAAAAAAGTTTAGTACAAAAGTTGTAGCAACTTTATTTCTAACAATATTGCTATTTTACACTTTTGCTCTCAGATGCATAAGTATTGAGAAAAGTTCGAATCGGTGAAAATGAGATAAAATCGTGTATTTACATTATTGTGATGGAGAGCTCGGGATTCAGAACGTTTATAAAAAAAAGTTTAGTACAAAAGTTATAGCAAACTTTATTTCTAACAATATTGCTATTTTACACTTTTGCTCTCAGATGCATAAATATTGAGAAAAGTTCGAAAACGCGAAAATCAGATAAAATCGTGGATTTACATCATATTGATGGAGAGCTCGGGATTCAGAACGTTTTAGAAAAAAAAGTTTAGTACAAAAGTTGTAGCAAACTTTATTTT